GAGGGAACACAAGCATACGATTATCTTGAGATTGGAGGTTTCTCCCATCCGTGTATGTTCGTACCACCAGCCCCATGTACAAAAAGATAATATTGAGAGATTGATTTGAGGGGGTGTTGGAGGCCGAGATCATGGAACCTAACGCGAGCTCTTTCTCTAGCCCAGTTTTGCTAGTGAAATAGAAGGATCAAAGTTGTTGTTTTTTGTATGGATTATAGGGAAGTGAATAAGGAAAAAAGTATCTGAGCAATTTCCCATCCCGATTATTAATGAGCTACTGGACAGTTGTTTGGGGTTGTGGTATTCTCCAAGATTGACTTAAAATTAGGATACCATTAGATTTTGATGCGGCCAATGTATGTGTACATGTCTACATTTTGAATTCACGAGGGTCACTACGAATTTCTGGTTATGCCATTCGGGCTCATTAACGCAACTACTATATTTTAGTATGTGACGAATAAGGTGTTTCAGTTGTTCCTCCTAAAGCTTGGGTTGGTATTCTTTGACAATATTTTACTGTACAACCGTTCCTTAGAAGGTTGCATTGATCATTTGAAGGTGTTGATGTTACTCGTTGAGTATCAGCTCTATGCTAACTTAAAAATGTGTTATGTTGTCTAACCAAAGGTGGAATGCTTAGGACGTGTGATGTCGATTGCAGGAGTGTCGACAGATCCATCGAAGGTGGCATCTATGTTGGATTGGCCATTGCCTAGGACACTGAAGGGGTTGAGAGTATTTTCGGGACTTTAGGATACGACCGAAAGTTTGTAAAGGGATACAGTTCGATTGTGTGGCCGTTGACAAAGCAACTGAAGAAGGATAACTTTCAGTGAGGGGAAAGGGCGTCCCAAGCTTTTGAGAAGTTTAAGAAGGCCATAACGAGTGTGCCAATGTTAGCGCTATCAGATTTCAACCAACCTTTCATTAGGCTATGGGTTAACTGCAGTTCACATGCAGTGTCAATGACCCTTCGCCTCTTATTTTAGTCAAGTGTTGACTGTGAGGGCGAGCCTCAAGTCTGTTTATGAGCGGGAGCTCATGACAGTGTTTGTCATTCAGAAATAGCTACATTATTTGTTGGGAAGACATTTTATAGTACAAACATATCAGTGTAGCCTTAAATTTCTGTTGGAATAGTGAATGATGATTGATAAATATTGGAGGTGGCTATCTAAACTATTGGGGGTATGAATTCGAGATTCAGTATCGTTCGAGATTATAGAATAAGGTTGTTTATGCCTTCACGGCGTGTGGAGGAACCATAATCATTGGCCTTGTCAGTTCCTTTTGTTTTAGATTGGGAGGTCCTTAGGCAGAAAAGTGAGAGATTAGGAATTCAGTAAGATTATGTTGGCTTTAGCTAATTGATAGAAAAATTATCTTGGTTACTCATCGAGTGGCCAACGATTACTTTACCAGGGACGTTATGTATTACCTCGTAACTTAAGGCACGTACCAAAATTTTTATAAGAGTTTCATGGCATCGCTATCGGGAGGCATTCGGGCGTGCTAAAAACATATCGGAGGATTGAGACATACTTGTATTGGGTGGGAATAAGAAAGGATGTGGAGGATATAGTTTCAAGGTGTGATGTGTGCCAACGACACTAGTGCATGGCGTTAGCACTAGGGGTTTGCTACAACCTCTAGCATTACCAGAAAAGGTATGGGAGGAGGTGATAATGGATTTCATCAAAGGCTATCCTGGTCAAAAAGGTTTACAATCATCTTAGTGGTGATGGATAAGTTGAGCAAGTACACACTTTCTACCTATATCCCATCAATACACTGTTGTTTCTGTCGCCGTAGTTTTTCTACGGGAGGTTACTGGGAGGTTATCCATTTGCATGGGATTCTATATACTATAGTGTCTGATTGGGACAAGGTGCTCTTGAGTCCTTTATGGAGGGAGCTGCTTAGAATGCAATGAGACCGTATTGAGGAAAAGTACAACATACCACCCATAGACTGCTAGACGGTTAGAAGTGGTTAATTGAAGAGTGAAGACCTATTTGTGTTGCTTTGTATCTGACACATCTAAGCAATGGGCAAAATTGCTATCCTGGGCAGAGTATTGGTACAACACATTGCATCCAACCTCATTTGGTACATTATCGACACAATACTATAGTAGTGTCTCTGGTGTATTAGTACTTAGAAGAGAGAGATAATATGTAGATGAAATTGAAGGGACAGCTATTTGAAAGCGCAATAAATTATGAAGAAAGAAGCTGACAGATACCGAAGGGATGTGCAGTTTATGATAGAAGATATGGTGTTCATAAAACTTTGACCCTATATTGACAGAAGATTTTGGCCAGATGCATGAATGAAAAGCTATCACTATGCTATTTTGGACGTTTTGATATCACAGAGCGCATTGGTGAAGCGGCTTATCGTCTGAAATTGGCACCTTCGTCAACATTTCTTCAAGTTTTTCAGGTATTGTAGCTGAGACACGCTATTGGTGATAATGTGACCTCTTTTTCACTTCCACCTATCTTGACTGAGGATATGAAAGTTTTCTTGGAACCACTGGATCTAAAAGGGGTTTGCCAGAAATCAACAGGGGGAGAGAAGTGTTAATTGCATGGAAAGGGTTATCAGATTATGACGCCACGTTGGAGCCGTGTAACTTGATCTAGCAGCAGTTTTTTTCTTTTCCACCTTGAGGACATAGTGTTTTATTGGAGAGCAACATACTATTAGGTAGGCACCGACGACGCTTTCAGACGTTGAGCCCACCAATTAATTTGAACACTTAGTTTAGAAGCACGACTAAAAGGATAATTTAGTCATTTATTAGTGATTATTTTTTGGCACAAATAGGCTTATTAGGTTTAGGGTTGGGCATGCCTGTTATTGTTGATTGGAATCTTAGGAGTTTGGGTTTGGGAGAGCTCGTCTACCTCTCAATTTGTAGGTGTTCATCTTTATATCTTTATTGTAATTGTTAATTTGCTTTTGGCGGAATAAAAGCATATTATTGCTGCCCTAATTTCTATGATATTCATGGAAAACTAACTGTAAAATTTTACACTTATAAGTCTATTTATTAGGCAATCAGTAGTTGTAGAATTTAAACCGTATGATAAAATAGTTGTAGTCATGAGTCCGGCTAGGTTTCTTCTGGAAATCCTTAAGAAATTAAATGCGAGATAAGCAAGACCTTTTAAAATCTTACAATAATTTGGGACAAATACCTTTTAAAATTTTAAATTCTAAGTTGTTTTGTCAATAATAAAATCTTCAATGCATTTGATTTTAGTTCGTGAATCTGCAATCAATATCTTTTGGTAAAATTTCAAAGTTTTTACTTGTTCTAAGAGAATAAAATGATACAGTAAAATACAAAATGGGTAAGCTTCCATGTTCCCCTTCTATAGTTTCCATTATGAATTATTTACTTTCTTAATCTTACCTTATTTCTTATGAGATTTCCTTTCCCCTTCTTTGCATGCATCCTTAATTGTCTCCAAACTTTTCTTAATTTTTCAAAAAGAGCATTGCTGTTGTTTATAGGTGCAGTCAAGGAGCTTCTCCTAACAAGTTTTTTAGTTATGCTATGGTCATACCGTTTGTTCCTCTCGTTGTTACCGTCTAAGTGATAATGATTGTCACCTAAAGTTTATGTAAATTTATGACATGAACTTACAACTTGTTTCATTTTACTGAAGGAATGTAAATGTTCCAATGACTATTATCATTTGAAGTAACTTATGTTTGATGATCTTCTTGTCCAATTTTTTTTGAATGCTTTCATTTTTTTAATCATGATGGGGAAAAATAATTTATGCTTGCTCAAGAAGTTGATTTTGATTCATCTTTTTCTTATGGAGTTAGAGCCATTTTTTGTAGTCTACAAATGCCCTACACTATTGCCCTATTGGGAAATGGTAACCGTTGGATAGCTTCATACTCTCAGCTAAGATATGGATTGTGGTTCTCTTTCTTGTTTTATATCTCAGGTTTCAGTTGTTAGCTGCTCTTGATGTATGGAAGTTCTTAGTAAATGCTTGTTTAATTTTATGTGCTTAGCCACTTTACTAAACATACTAATGTTGAACTGCACTATTTCTACTCAAGGCATTGGTGCCATTTTCTAGTATCTTAAAATTAGTTCAGATTTTTCTGGTTGCGATGAGTAGTTGTGTGGACCCCTGGATCAACCATGACATAAGCAACATTTCATGTCATACCAAATAGCAGTTGTTTTAACCCCTCAGATGTAAAAAATAAAATGAGTAGATGTTGGGAGGATTTTCTTATACCGAACGCATTGGGATTGTAAGCACCTTAGCTGATAGAGTTGCCCTCTGTTGACGATGATGATATTGCCATCAGCATCACCATAAGTCCAAATATCAGGTATTTTACTACTACAACTAAAGAGTAAATGACTAGAAGGAAATAAATAACATCTATTCTTACCAGACAATTATGCTGTAGCATTTTGGCTGATTGAATGAACTATATCGAGGATAATGTTGATGATAATCATCAGTATTCTCTCATTGTCATTTTCATCTTATTTCTGTCCGTCTCCCTCTTCTCCTTTTGTGGTTCCAGGTTAGGGCATAGGTTCTTTTGATGAAATTAATCTAGATTTTTCATTTTCCTTATGGCCGCTATCTGGATATATTGAGTTAAGGCCTTATTTTGTAATGCCTTTAGCGATTTGTTCTCACAATCCTGGCTTGTCACAATTTTGAAATGCGGGAGACACATGCTCCTGTTCCTTGGATTAAAAAACTTGGGAAACAGATGAGCAACTTGTTCAATTGTGAGAGCAGCTACTTCCAAAACAGCACAGAATTTCCAATGAAAACGGAACTTGATATATTTATTAATGAATCTAATGGTTTTCCTTGGCATTTAAAAAGGACTGTTTTTTTCATTGCTGTTATAAGCAAAGAAGGAATTTTTATTTTGATTCCAATCCTTATCTGATTTTTTATCACAACTTAAATTCGGTTCTCTTATTTCTTCCATAGATATGTTGCACTCAACATGCTGATGAAATCTGTTGTGGTTGATTCTCAAGCAATGCAAAGACACAGATCAACAATTTTAGAGTGTGTAAAGGTATGCTATTATTTAGCTTTAGATTGCTTTTTCTTTCTCTAGCTCTTGTTATTATGAATAAAATTACACAATTTTAAGTACGAAGCAAACCAATATCGAACATGCTTCAAATTTTGCTGATATGTTTACTCAAGGCTTTATTGCTGTTAAATTTTGTTTTTCATACTTCTTGATTTCTGTTTAATATGGTACAATTCTACTTGACCTGGGTTAGGTTGCGAATAGATGCCTTAATATCTTGTAAGTTCATTGCAAATTATGTTTTTATAACTCTTGCTCATTTGATTTAATATTCTTCTGTTGCCGGACTGAGTTGTTTAAAGCTTGCATATATACTGATGCAAATGTTCTGTTATTCCAACTGAGGCGAATGTTTATGTGTGCAACTTTCTAGGACTCTGATGCTTCAATTAGGAAAAGAGCCCTTGAGCTTGTATGTCTTCTAGTCAATGATACCAATGTGAAGCCTTTGACCAAAGAACTGATTGACTACTTAGAAGTTAGCGATGAAGAATTCAAAGGAGATCTTACAGAAAAAATTTGCTCTGTTGTTGTAAGGTATGCGGAAGATCTTTTTGTTGAAATTAAAACCTTGAACTTATGTGATGATCTAGGAGAATTCAGTTTATTTTTTATTTTTTTTATTTCTTGTTAATTGATGTTATGCTTTATCTTTTCTGGAAAGCTATTTATGCAATCCTGTTTTAATTGCTGCAATAACTGTTTCCCTTTTCTTTTTTTCTTTATGACCTTAAAACTTTAATTTGTTATATAGAGTTTGAGGTCTCCCTGTTAGTGGATTTAAATTTTGTTCAAAACTAAGGTATGGCAAGTAATGTGAATGGTTATAATTATTTTTCTGCAAACGATGTGAAAATGAAACCTTATGTTATAGGTAAGCAAAGGAGTGAAAATGAAACCTAAAAGAAGAATGTTTAGTCTAGGTCAACAATGCATTAGATTAAAAACATCCTATTAAAAAACTTAATAAATTTTGAAATTGTTTTTGTTGGAGAACCCTATGATCCTGCACCATGACACTATTCATGCTCCAGCCCATGCCCTATCCACCTTAACCCCACTTTCTATATTGAATCTCCCATGACACTTGTCAGCGCTTGCTTTGCATTTTGCTCGCATATGCAACATTACCTTTTGTTCTCTACTCGTCCTTTACTATTGTTTGTGATTCTTAGCGGTTCGCTCTCCTATTCTAAACACTTCCGTTTATCTCACACTTGATGCATTCTTCTTTGGCATTGTCTGATCAGCTTTTGTACTCAGCTTTATTTCTTTTGACAGTTTCAAGCCTAGCAAGCTTCCTACAATCCAATAATCTCAACCACTCGATTCCACCTATTAGTTTCCTTGCATTTTGGCACAGTAGTTGTTTTGTCTCTTCTAGATTTTGTGAGGTTGCCCCCTCGCACACAAATGTAGGGATATGAAAATTAAAGAATCATTGATCTTCAATCTGCCCAATTAGTATGAAGACCCATGATCGTTCATTGCTGATTCAATCAAGATCGAAGAGCACTTGATTTATCTTGATCCGATCAATGTTTAAAGTCCTCAGCACCATCAATCTTTAATATGACTAGAGTTTTGTTACCCTAAATTGATCTAGTCTCAAAGAGTAATATATGTAATTTTTCTTGTCATTTTGTACATATGATAATAAATAATAGTAGTAATATAATATATTCATGTAACAAATATTGAACTTCTCTTGAATGATGGACATTATGCCCGCTTCAAGGTTAGAGTGCTGTCAGTGCATTCAATTCTGCCATTTAGTCATCAAGAAGGTGTTGAGTGTCTCTCATCACCTGAATCACGGGCACAAAAAAAAAAAAAGACCAACCATGTGTGAAATCTGATAAAAAGGAAAGAGATAGGTTGGGGCCCATAACCCAAGCTTCTATAAATACTTGTTGATGGCTTATTCGCTATGTGAAGATTTTTTGATCATATCAAATAATATATAATCATGAAAAACATTACTAGAGTGCCCTTCTTTTGCTCTTAAAATGTATGAACAAAACACAACTATCAATTTCAAGTTGCAAATTAGCTTAGATTAGAGTTTGGGAGCTTCATAAACATTCTGGACACATTTTAGGACATAAACTAGAATGAGGAAATGATTATTCCATTTGATAACAGAAATAAATAATTTATTGATGTCCATTTCACATTCGGTTATCAAATTCAAGAATTTTTATACCATTGTCAACCAATGCTTAACATTAGGTTGATGATTCCATGTTTCCAAGAATGCCACTTCATTAAGCACATAACATCACCAAAAAAAATTGTGTTATTCATGCAGACATCCCAAATCTTTGCAAACTTTATATAAATTGCTTATTTTTGTTAATGCATCGTTATGCACAAATCATATTAATACACTTAGGCCTCAATTTAGATACATATGCTGCTAACCTGGTTGATTAAGCAAATAAGCCAAGTTCCCAGATTGATTTAATTGACTTCTATTTGATCTCGAGGTCCTGGTCAATTATCTTAATATGCATATAAAATTCACGCTACATCTATAATTAATTTCCTTATAATTGTATGCTTTGCTTATTCTTCGAGGTCCTAAGACTTGGTAACGTAAGTACAATATGCAAGTATGCAAAAAGTTAGGACTAAGCCTTTATTTATTTGCCAACTTGCAAATGGAGCAATAGTTCACATATTAAAATTAAGTCAAATTTAAAAATCAAATGCATGTATAAAAAAAGAAAAATTAAATGACATTTGTGTCTTCAATTTTTAGAAAACTTTTATAATTGGATATTGCTATAGCTCATTTTGTCTAGGCTCTTTGTGGCTAGAAACTTGGTGGAATTGAATGTTACTGCCCTATTTCATCAGGAGGTATGGATTGGGACCTGTGGAGTTTAAAAACATGCTATCAATCTGCTTTTCTTGTCACATTTTTTGAAAAATTTCTTTGAACGTGTCAAGATTTTCTGAGCTGAGAAATTCTCAATTTCTGTCGCAGGACCTTGTACGTAATGACCATATGGTTAAAGATCATATACCTTCAGTTCAAATCTATTTTCATAACTTGGAGCTGAGTTCAATATCTCATCAAGAGAGTGGTTGATGTTCTTGCTTGTGCTAGCCCTTTGGTGTTGATCACTTCATCTATTGTTAAAATTATCATTGACAATTCTATGCAAGTTCTTAGGATGTAGCAACCATTTCCAATTGGTGGATTAAATGATGATTATTTGTGATAATATATTTCTGATTATGAGTAGAGCTTTCAGATTGTCAATTCTCTATTAGATCAAAGATTTCATATTCTTTATGTTAGAAGGGGTATAAATTAGAAGAAAATTTGTCATCACTCTTCTATTTTTACATGGACTTAAATTAGACGAATTAAATGAATTCTTTGTATCCTTTTTTTAGGCTTATTGTATTTTTTTCTACTCTGACATTTCTCGGTGAATGATGTTGGTTTATTCATTTCATTATCTTGTTAATATATATTTTTTTGAAAAAAAAAAAAAAAACTTTATGCCTCAAACTTTTCAAAGGGCCTATATTTCCTTTCATTTTACTTTGTTATTTTATTTATCTTAATTACTCCTCCCTAGAAATTAGCCTTTTAAACAAACCATTCAGAGCTATAGATTTGGCTTTCCTTGTTGCCTCCTTTGCTAAAATATTAGCTTTTTATTTATAACAACGTGTTAGGTAGCTCATAACAGTACGAAGTCAGTTGCAGCTTTTAGTAAATTTTCATTCATAAGAGAACTATGTGGCGTATAGTCAGAATTTTAAAATTTTATTAACTAAAAGAAAAACAAGAACTTTTCTATTTATTTTTAATGCCTTTACTTGTTCATTCTTTACCATTTAATAGATAGTTTCTGATTGTCAAGTTGTTATTATCTAATTTACAGGCATTTTTTTCCTTCTACGAGAATGATATAAGGGTAAAAAAAAAAGCATCTGATAACATGGTTAAGAATAGTGGAGCATTGATCTTTCATACCTCCTACAACCCATCATCAATAAACAAATTGACGTCATATGTCTTTTTCTATCTTTAATACAAAAATTCACAAAACTGCTCACACAAATTGCTAATGGGAACCTCTAATTTTTTTATCAATAAAAGGTTTTTGCATTTTTATTATGAATCCCTTTCAAGTAATAAAATAATTGCCTTGTGGATGGAGCCCTTCTTCTTACTTAATATTATATTTATAGTTTCTGAACTGTATATATTTAATTGCTGTATGACTAAAATTTAATGTATTCTTGTACTTTGACAGATTTTCATCTGACAAGTTATGGTATATTGATCAGATGCTGAAGATCTTATCTGAGGTACCGATTGCTTCAGTTGCATGAAGGTTTTCTTTACTCATAATCATGTAAAGAAAGACATAATTATTAATCCACGTGCTTTGCAGCTAAATTTCTTGTGATTATTTTGTGCTATTATCTTCATGTTTTTGGTCTATAACTGCATACTTTTTGTGCCCTAGTTTTGTGCTATTGTGTTAGCAAGGAGTTGAAGGAGGAACTTTTACTATAGATCATTGAATTGTAATCATCTAAATATTGCTCAACCAACGCGGGGCGTGGACTGCTGGGACACGGAGTGTTTGGGATGCTCGAACCGTTTCAATTACACATGTAGAGGAAACAAAGAGAGCTGAGAGGAATCAAAGAGTTAAGCAGAAGCGAGAGGAAGCAAGGAGTCGAGAAGTTGAAACGCAGTGTCGGGAGCTAAGGAGATGAATTGTTCTGTAAAATGTTGCAAACGGCTGAACTGAAAGTTGAATGATAGTGATGAGGGAAGCAGAGGACTCTCGTGATTGCGTGACTGCGGTGACTGTGGCTAGGGAAACGAGAAGGGAGCGTAGAGAGGAGGGTGTCGAGCAAAGCAGGACGAGCCGCATTCTAGCGCAAAAGGGGAAGTCGTTGAGTAGAAAGTGGCGTCTCTGGTGCGCAGAGGAGGAAGAGGCGACGGGTTGATTGTGCCTTCTTACGGGAGGGAGCCGATGGTAGTGCGTTTGGAGTTCGATCGAAGGGAAAGTTCTCACATTGAGAAGGAGATGACATGCGTTCCCGTGTGCAGAGGAGCAGGCGGAATTGCTTGAGGGGAAAAAAAAGCATGTTCTCTCATGGTTAGGGATCGACTAAGGAAAGGTAATATAAGAGGAGCAGGCGGAATTGCTTGAGGGGAAAAAAAACATGTTCTCTCATGGTTAGGGATCAACCAAGGAAAGGTAATATATATGTAATTGATTTAATAATAATAATAATAATAATAATAATAATAATAAAAATAAAATAATAATAATATATAATAATAATAATAAATAATAGGTTTATTTATATATTAAATAGAAAATTTAATGGGATTTCATAAAGTTAATATTTAAATAATGAGAAGTTAATAGTTTATTAAAATAATAAACTAATTAAATTTTTACCATGTTTAAACGTTCCATTTTAGAAGAATTGACGTCAAGCGCAAACGGATTGTCTATCAACAAGGTGAGTACCCATACTCTTAAATTACTATATTATTTTAACATCTCTTCTAAACCAGTTGTTTTGATTGTTAGTCATGCTTGATTAAGAAATTGATTTTTCTATTATTAAGTTTTATCGGTCACGTCAATACAAATGTTTATGTTCACTTATTATGAATTAATTGATTCATTATAGTATTACATGTTGATATGAAATTTTGAATTGAATAATCTACATAGAGTGATTGTATGTGTATGCTTTACTATAATGGAGTCACCCCTTGAAGGTACTAGTGGGGGAATAATAAGATACCCGTGCACCTATATGAAAAAAGATATTGATATTATCATGTCTTAATTAGCAATTTTAGATGATGCTCTTGTGACTGATGTATAAATATAAAATGATATTTGTATGCGATTGATATAATAAAATTAATTGATAACATGTTAAATATTTATATTGATTTATTAAACAGTTTAACATGTATTTTTGCTTCCTTTTTTTGTATTATTGTAGTTTATGAGTATGAATATTCACTGACTTGTTTAAGACACTTATTTTTATATCAACTTTTCAGTTTAATTTAATTAATTAAAGATGAGCGGTAGAATATGAAATATTTATAGAAGATATGGACATCTAGTAATGAGGTAATTTTAAATAAACTGATTTAATTAATTTGATTAATGATTTTTTCATTGGTAAAATGTTATTTAGAGAAAATTTAATTCTCACCATCCGACTTTCTTTTTTCCTGTCTGAATTAATTCCAGGCTCCAGGTCGGGTTGTGACAAAAGTAGTATCGGAGCCATTGTTTATGATTAATTAATAAAATTTTGATAAAGAGTCAATATGATAATTATAAGAAAATTTTAAAAATTTTAAAAACTAAAGCCAAATTAATAAATATATTCATTCAGGCATAATGATAAACCTCAAAATTATAAAAGAAGGAAGTCTGATAGAAAGTTTATGGAGAGCTAATGTTAACCTGTTTAATGAGGAATGACTTGAGGTATATTTATAAATTTTGAGGATGAAACTTTTGTAAGTGTGGAAAATTGTAATGTCTTGTTTGAGCTACATGACTAGAGGAAACGAAGAGAGTGAAGGAGAATCGAAGAGGTGAGCTGAAGGGAGAGGAAGCAAGGAGTTGAGCGAAGGAGATAAATTCGCCTATAAAACATCGCAAGCGGCTTACCTTAGAGTCAAATGAGAACGACGAGGGAAACGGATGACTCGTGATCGTGTGGCTGCGGTGAGTGCGGCTAGGGCAAAGAGAAAGGTGCGTAGAGAGAAGATCTCGGTGTCGGTGTTGAGCAGAGCAGGACAAGCCGTGTTCTGGCGTGGAAGGAGAAGTTGTGCAGAAAGCGACATCTTTGTCGCGTAGAGGGGGAAGAGGCAACGGGTTGAACTTGCCTTCTTACGAGAGGGAGTTGAAGCTGGTGCGTGGAGTTGGAGTTCAATTGAAGGAGCTCTCACATAGAGAAGGAGCTGAGGTTTGTTTCTGTGCATGAAGCATGCAGAATCACGTGAGGGGAAGAACATGTTCGTGCATCGTGCATGGTTAGGGATCGACTGAGGATAGGTAATATCTATGTAATTGATTTAATAATAATAATAATAATAAT